TCTACATTCCACAAAACTATCTTTAAGAATGAAAGAGAGGGCTTCCCTGGTGGCGCAGTGGTCGAGAGTCTGCCTGCCAATGCGGGGGACGCAGGTTCGTGCCCCGGTCTGGGAAGATCCCACATGCCGCGGAGCGGCTGGGCCCATGAGCCATGGCCGCTGAGGCTGCGCGTCCAGAGCTCTGCAACGGGAGAGGCCACAGCAGTGAGAGGCCCGCGTACTGCAAAAAAAAAAAAAAAAAGAGAGAGAAACTAAGACATTCTCAGATAAATAAAAACTGACATAATTTGTTGTTAGCAAACCTGCCCTTCAAGAAATTTTTGTACACTGAAAACTATAAGACTTCACTGAAAGAAATTTAAAAAGATCTAAGTAAATGGAAGGATATCCTGTGTTAATATATAAGACATAATATTAGCAATACTGATCAAATTGATCTACAGATTAATTGTAATCCCTATCAAAATTCCAGCTGATGATTTTGAAGATATTGATAAGCTGATCCTAAATTTCATATGGAAATGCCAGGGACCCAAAATAATCTTAAAAAGAAGGACAATATTGGATGACCCACACTTTCCTATTTCAAAATCTACTACAATGCTACAACAATCAAGACTGTGGTACTAGCATAGGATAGATGTATAGATCATTGGAATAGAAAGTCCAGAAATAAATCCATGCATTTATGGACAATTGATTTTTTTTTTTTTTTTTTTTGGCCACACTGTGCGGCCTAAGCACGGAGTCCTAACCACTGAACTGCCGGGGAATTACCATGGACAATTGATTTTTGACAAAGGTGCCAAGATAACTCAATGAGGGAAGGAATAGTCTTTTCAACAAATGGTTCTGGGACAATTGAATATCCACATGCAAAAGAATGAAGGTAGACCTCTATCTCAATATATATATACATAAATTAACTAAAAATGAACGACATATCTAAGAGCTGGCTTAGAATAAAACTTAGAAATAGTTGGATTAGGCAATGATTTCTTAGATATGACACCTAAAGCACAAGCAACCAAAGAAAAAAAATTAATACTTCTGTAATTCGAAGAACAGTCAAGAAAGTGAAGAAAACTCACAAAATAGGTGAAATATTTGCAAATCATTTATCTAGTAAGGGTATAGTATCCAGAACATATACAAGACTCTGACAATTCAAAAATAAACAATAAAAAAATAGCCCAATTTTAAAATGGGCAAAGGATTTAAACATTTTTCAAAAGAAGATATATAAATGGCCAATAAAAACATGAAAATATTCCTAATATCATTAATCATCAAGGCATTGCAAATCAACACCACAATTAAGTGCTAACTTAACATCCACTAGAATGGGTAAAATAAAAAAAGATGTACGATAACAACTATTGGCAAGAATGTGGAGAAACTGGAACTCTCCTATGTTGCTGGTGGAAATGTAAAGTGATGCAGCTCCTTTGGAAAATGATTTGGCAGTTTTTCAAAAAGTTAAATTTAGAGTTACCATATAACACATGAATTCCTATCCTGGGTATGTTCTCAAAAGAACCAAACATATATTCGATTGAAAACTTGTACATGAATGTCCATAGCAACTGATAAATGGCTAAATAAATGTGTGATGTCTATACAATAGAATATTATTCAATCATCGCAGAATGAAGTGCTGATACATGCTGCAACATGGATGAACCTTGAAAACATTGAGCTAAGTGAAAGAAGCCAGTTTGAAAAAGCCACATACTGTGTGATTCTACTTATAAGAAATACCCAAAATAGTCAAAGCCTTAGAAACAGAAAGCAGGTTAGTGATTGCCAGGGGCTGAGAAGAGAGGGACTGGGGAATGACTGCTAATGAGTATGGAGTGTCTTTCTTTTTCCTTTTTTGAAATAGACTGTATTTTTAGAGCAGTTTTAGGTTCACAGCAAAATTGAACAGAAGGTACAGAGATTTCCCGTATACCACATGCCCCCACATACACACAGCCTCGCTCACCATCAAAATCCCACACTAGACTGGTACACGTGTTACAATTAAAGAACCTACACTGACACATCATCATCACCCAAAGGCCATAGCTTACGTCAGGGTTCACCCTTGGTGGAGGGTTTCTTTTTAGGGTGATTTTCTGTAATTAGATAGTGGCAATGGTTGTATAAACCACAGAACTGTACACTTTAAAAAGGGTGAATTTTATGATATGTGAATTATCTGTTAACTAAAAAGTTTTAGAACAGTGCCAGACACAAGGTAAGCTCATTAAATATTAGCTGTAATTATTTAAAAAAATTGTACTAGGCTTAGTTGGATGGGGGAATAAATTAACTATAATTTGTCCTATATTGACTTCTACTTATTAGAGAAGAAAAAGCAGGGGGAAAGCAGCAGAATAAAAACGACTCTCAAGTGTGTGCAGCCCTTTCACAAAGTATTCCCCAATCTTTTTCCAAAGAGGCTGTCCCACCCACCACAAGGCAGTCATGACCCTTGGCCATTACTGTGATTATTTATTCATCATCTCTTTATTTTTGTCTCTTTCCCTCTCTAGGTGAGCAGATACTTTGTCTAGTTCATCTGGTACTTACTGTCACACTCAATACCTGTTTGTTGTGTGAATGGATGAATGAATGAATGAATGAATGAATGAAAGAATACCCCCAGGATCTCACTTGAAAGGGAAACCAACACTGTAAAGTTAGTCTAGGTTTATTAGCTCCACAGAGTTAGGAAACTGAGGCTCCGTGAGGGCAGGTGATGAGTCTAAAGCACTTCTGCTCTGCCGAGGTATAGGGACATGAAAAGTTCCTCTCCCTCCGCCCTCAGTGGTACTTCCTCTGGCCAAGGACATTTCTCTTCCCAAACTGACAGAGTGTAAGACTCCTTTTGCCTAGTTCTCAGCCCCTCCAGTGATCCCCAAGGAGTTAGTCCTGACAGTGTGTCCCCTCAGGTGTTTGTGATCCTCCTGTTTCAGAGACGACTGGGTCACACCTCTCCATTCTGGACCTGAAATTCCATTTTCTCACCTCTAAAATAGGTATAATACATGTTCATGTTTGTTCATTGCAATGATATCAATTCTCCCTGATTTGATCTACAAATTCGATGTAATCTCAATAAAAATTCCAGGAAAATTTTCTTTCTTTCTTCCTTCCATTCTCTCTCTCTCTCCCCTCCCCTTTCATTTCTGAAAAAATTCAAGCTGATTCTAAAATTTACATGAAAATCCAAAACAGCTGAGAGTTACCACTAAAATCTTGAAGAAAGTTAGGAAAATTTACCCTAGTAAATATCAGGATATATTATTAAACCAGTAATTAAGATGAGGTAGTATTAGCAAAAGACACAAATGGAATGGACAGAGAGGCTGGAATCAGACCCAAATGTTTGTGATACTTGATTTAGGACAGAATTGACAATGTAGTACAGTGAGGACAGGATACAGTTTCCCATAAATGGTGGTAGGACAATTGGATATCCAGTTGGGGGAAAAAAAATGAATCTTGATTCCCTACCTCACACACACAAAGAAAAAAATCCAAGTGGTTTGTGAAATTAAATTTGAAATTTAAATGTGAGAATTAAATGTGAAAATTAAAACTAAATACTAAAACAATAGGTAAATATCTTCGTGGCCTTGGGTTAAGCAAAGATTCCTTAAACAGTTCAGCAAAACATTAACCATAAAGGAAAAGATTGATAAATTGAATTTACTAAAATTAGTAATGTCTGTTCATCCAAAGACACTACTCAGATAGTTAAAAGGTAAGCCACAGAGGAAGAGAAAATACCTGCTGTATGAAAAACCAATGACGGACTTGTTAACCAGAACATATAAAGAGCACCTCCACTCATTAAGAAAAATACAAATCAACTTAAAAAAAAGGAAAACACACACAGACAAGCATTTCACAAGAGAATATTCAAATGGTGAATAAGGCACATGCTCAAGCTCACTGGTTACCAGGGAAATGAAATTTTCAGCCTAAATGAGATACCTCTACACACTCATCAGAATGGCTAAAAAGAAGAAGTTTGACACTACCAAATGTAGACAAGAATGTGAAGCAACTCAAACTTTTTCATATCTTGGTTTAAAATCAGTACAGCCACTTTCGAAAACTGATGATGTCTAGTAAGCCAAATATATGCACACCCTATGGCCAGCAGTTTCACTCTCAGGTTTATACCCAATAGAAATTAGTCCAAATGAGCACTGGAAGATATACAAAATGGGTTTGTAGAATTATCTGTAATAGCCCCAAACTGGGAACAATTCAAATGTCCATTGCCAGGGGAGTGAATAAATAAATTGTGGTATATTTATACAGTCGAAAACTAAAGAGCTATAGAAATGAATAGTTTTTACTTCATGTGACAAGATGGATGAATCTCACGATCATAATTTTGAGTGAAAGAAGACAGACACAATAGACACATTCATTATTCCATGTACAAGTTCAAAACCAGGCAAAACCAGTCCATGTTGTTAGAAGTTAGGAAGGGGGATACTCTTTGGAGCAGAGAAGGGGGAATGACTGAGACGGAGCATGAGGATGACAGTTAAACGGTATGTTCACTTTGTATGTGTCATACAAAGTATGTAAGTATGTAAGTATATAAGTTATACTTGAGTAAAATTGCTTATGTTCAGAAATGATTATAATGATAGTACCTGATATTATGGGGCATAAATGGTAATAATAAATTGGCTAAGACTATTGAGCTCTATTTAAGTCAGGTGCTGAGTAAATGCCTCACAGAAGTATAATGAGGCTTAAAATATTTCCATGTACTTTTCTCCTTTCCCTTTCCTTGCACCTCACCTTCCCAGAGGCAGCCAGAGGCATCCATTTGCCTTCAGGGGGTCAGGATTGTTACAGCAGAAGCTCAAGGGAAAAAGTTGATATTCAGCTTTGGACTCTCAAAATAGGATTTCTGAGTCCCTCTCAAGGAAATAGTCTGGAAAGCCTGAATTATTCAGAGAGAAGCAAGTTTTCTCAATTCCTAGGGTTTCATCAATACGTGAAAAGCCTGACCTTGACCTGATGGGCAGGAAGATGGACCTTGACCATAAACCACAGGTAGGAAAATATCTAAGTTGTTTAGGGATGTCCCTTCTGCCTAGGAAGGAAGACCAAGCGACTAGAGAGAGAAGTCAGGGAAAAAGAAGTAGAGAGAGGAGGAAGCAAGATTCCTGGGAGCTCCTTTGATTCACACACACACACACACACACACACACACACACACACACACACACACAGTGCAACACAAGGTGGGCTGCTATCAAACATCCAGAGCGGCAAAGAGATCAGTTAGAGAAAGCAAAGACTCCATCATTTGTGCGCATCTGCTTGCCATGGTAATGTCTAACCACACACAAACATGCTCTCGTGTCATCCTCATATCTAGCTGGTGAGGTAGACACTATTATCGCCCCATTGATCACATGTGGACACGGAGATAGAGAGAGTGATGTGCTTGCTTGAGGCCATAGCTGGACTGCAGAATTTTGTTCTTTTCTCTGATGCTACACTATTCCTGAAGCACGGAATGTAGCACCTAGTATGTCAAAAGGTATTACTGTTACTATCTTCCCAAATAAATTGTAGAGGATGCTACAATTAGAAATCAGAGGATTTGAGTTCTGAAAAGCCTAATTTAGCCACCAGTTAATTATAAGCCCTTGAGTGAAGGGACAACTGTTTTGCTGATCATCCAGCACTTCCTCCCCAGTCTCCTGTCTGCTGCTTGCAGGGGACCTTCGGATATGAAGGGTTGGGAGGTGTCAACGCCATCCTGCCTTATAGAAAAGGAAACTGAGGCACTTAAGTTGCTTGCCACAGGCTACTTAGCCGGTCAGTAAGAAGGTTTGTGATATAGTCGCCACTCCTCCCTGAGCCTCAATGTCTCCATCTGTAAAGAAACGACAGAAAGTCACTTAGATTGGACAATTATGAAATTCTTACACCTGGCTTGAAATTTCTGGAATGCAAGAGAAAAAGAGAAAGAGAAAGGGGAAAAGAAAGGGAGAGGAATAAAGGAAGACGAGATACAGAGTGTTAAAGGCGTGGCTTAGATTTCAGCTCGAATTTTTTTAGGTCATAAGGAGAAAAGATTCAAACTAGATGCTGTCCTGGTGACTTCCAGTAGCCGAGAGTGAAGCTGTGCTGTGATGACACCACATTAGCTTGGAGCAGTATGTCTATCAACAGCCCCAGTCTGAGTAAAGCAGTTGGCATTTGCAGGGACCATGTCCCCACACTGGAGTTCAGTGTGTGGAAGAGCCTCAGACCCCAACTGGGTGTCTAAACTCTTCCAGGAAGGGCCCGCTCTTCCTAGGTTGTCCAGCCCCCGTCTCCCACTCACACCTCTGGGGAGAGCCTCACTCATAGGGCAAGGCTGGGACCCCAGCCGCTCACTTGGCAGCACATTTGAGGCAGGCTGGGGACACAGGGGCAGCGCAGGAGAGCCAGGCTCTGCAGGGGCCGATGGAGCATGGCCCAACAGCTCACGGGATCACAGGCCCCATTGTTCTCACTTTTTAATTAAAATGGCGTCTTTCCCCCTTATTACAAAAGCCATGTCTGTTTATTTTAGCAAAATTAGACAGGCCAGACCAGGAAAAAGAAAAACTTAAAAATGACCCATGACCCAGAGAGAGCCACTGTTAATGCCCTGGTGTATTCAGGGGTCACAAAATAAATGCACAGGGGGGCCAGGCAGTTAATGTAAATGTGAATTGGATGGTATTAAAATTAATAAATATGTGTGAATCAAGTGGTATTAAAATTAGTATAAATGTGTGAGGGTGAATCGATTTATATGAAAATTAATATAAATATGTGAATTGTGATATTAAAAATGTCAGGATGTTTGAATTTTGGAGTAGTTGAGAGTCTGTGGCTAGTATGAGGACATTCAAAAGTCAAAGAGATTTTAAATACTGACTGAGGCACCAGAGGTCACCAGTTTGAAACTCCTGCTGTGTATCTTTCTAGATCTCTCTTGCTCTCTCTCAAATCTATATATATGTATAAATATGTAGATAGGAGCGGAGAATCAAGATGGCAGAGTCTTTGGACGTGGAACTCACCTCCTCTCATGAATAAACATGTAGATATATGAAGATATACAATATATACACATACACACATATATACAGAAAAACACACATACGTCCACATACATCCAGTGGAATTTCATGTGGATGCTCAAGATAATATTCAGACAAAAGTGGAAATGATTGGGTTGAAGCATGATTGGGGACTAGTACTTCCACCCTTCTCCCCACCTTCTCACCCTAACAGAAGCCCCTAAATAACTCTGGGCAACATAGGAATCTGGTTTGAAAACCAGTCATCTATTCCAGTGGTTCCTAGTCTTCAGCATTTCATGAGCTAGTAAATTTCACCTTCAAAAAATTAGGGGAGACTGATCTCACGTTGCCAACTTTCTTTCCATCAAGTGTGGCAGGCATGGCTAGCTGCCCTCTCAACAGCCATTTCCTACCACCCTACCCCTTTCTTTCTTGGTTTTGTTTGAGGGGGCTGTGTACCCTGTCCTGGCAATTAATCATCAGTAGTAAACCCAACATGGAAATTCCATTTTCTTTTGCCAGATTCTTGATTTCCTAGACTCCCTTGCAGCTGAGGGTAGCCCTGTGACCTAATTTAGCCAATGAAACATAAGAGGAAGTCTGCTGGAGACTTCTAGGAAAGCTTTTGCTTTCCCGTAAAAGGGAAAACGTCATGACACCATCTCATCCCCACTCTTCCTACCTTGAATATACCTTGCCAAGAGCAGTGGCAGCCTTCTTGGGACCATGAGGGAAAGGGTAAGAGAATCACAGAGACCCCTACTTGCCCAGCATTGGTAAGCACTGAAACTTCCCCAGTGGTTGCTACTTCCAGACTGCTCTTAATGTGAAAAAAATATGCCCCTACATGTTTATGCCTCTGTTAATTGGATTTTTTATTATGTGCAGCCTAGAAAGAAGAAAAAAGTTAACAACTCTTCTCATCATTAAGCCAAAGAAGTAGAATGGAGATAATGTTACACACACACAAAAAGTTTTATGAACATCTTGTTGTTGTCTCTATTTTTCTGATTTTGCCATAGACTAGTAACAACTTTTTCACAGAGCAGCCTTGGCCCATGGACAAATGTCTGGTAATCGTTGATCTTTACCACAGCAGCAAGTCGAATGACTAAAGAAGAGTCCACCATCAGATTTCTAGTCATTAGACCAGCCTCCTGTTTTTGGATATTCAGTTCGTCTCCAGTTATTTCCTATATAAAGAGTGTGGCAATGAACATCCTTGAAGCTCAATCTTTTCTCTCACCTTTACTGATTTTCTTAGGATAAATTCCTAGACGTAGAACTTCTAGGTTGAAGAATATGCATGTTTTAGGCTTTAGCTCATTTTGCCCAGCTGTCTTCCAGAAAGAAAACACCAAGTTTCATGGTTATCTCCCCACAGATGTTTCACAAAACTTGAATTGCTAACACAAGTCACCCCAGGATCCTTCCTGAACTGCTCTTTTGGTCAGGGGTTTGAGTTGGCAACCTTCTGCCCCCTACAACCTGTGCCACCTCCATCCCTCCCAAGATCAAAGTCACCTGCATATTTACAAGTGGTCACTGCCCGTCTTACATCCTCCCATGCCCTCCCTCAGTCCCCCCGAGCTAGAGAAATAAAGTCAGGGCTCTGGTCAGCTTCAGACATGAGGCTGGGCCATCAGGGCCTGCTGACACCCCCAGCCTCAGTGCTTACCTTTCTCTGGCACATCCAGCATACGGAACTATTTACTGTTCTACAACCACATTGTGAGCTATTGTACTTCTGTGCTTTTGTATATGATGTCCCATCATTGGGAAGGCCTTTTCTCTCCTTCTAGCTAACTTGTGCTCATCTTTAAAAATTCAGCTCAAACATCACTGCTCCCAGGAAGCCTCCTTGACCTCCTCCAGCTGGACAAAGGCCTGTGCCTGGGCCCCCACCCCCCTCTATAATGCTTTCTCCTATAAGGTCCTGGTCACACTCTGTAGCAACAGCTGGTCCCCCTGTCTTATTCTCCCACCAGATGGTTAGGTCCTCAGAGGAAGAGAGAGCCAGAGAGAGAGAACTCCCTTTGGGGGAAGCCCAGTCCTCCTCCCTGCCCTCCGTGCCTAGAAACTCTGCCCACCCTGCAAGCCCTTGCTCAAAGACTGTGACACCCCCTGCAACAATAAATCTTCCCGGCTGGCCTCAGACCCCAACGGCTCCCTTGGTTCCTGGCTCATTTGGCCTTGCCCCTGAGGAGAGAGTTGCCAGAGAGCAAGACCCAGAATCATGCCTGGGTTTTGTCACTGTCTCAGTCCACTTGGGCTCCTGTAACAAAACACCATAGACTGGGTGGCTTACAAACAAACATTTTATTTCTCACAGCTCTGGAAGCTGGGAAATCCAAAATCAAGGTACTGGCAGATTTGCTGTCTGCTGAGGGCCCTCTTCTTGGTTTGCAGATGGCTACCTTCTTGCTGTACACTCACATGGCAGGGAGGTTGGTGCCTCTGGTCTCTTCCTCTTCCTACATGAGCACTATTCCCATTATAGGGGCTCCACCATCATGACCTCATCTAAACCTAACTACCACCCAAAGGCCCCACCTCCAAACACCATCACAATGGGAATTAGGGCTTCAACATATGAATTTTGGAGGGACACAACCTTCAATGCAGAGCACTGACAAGCTGTGTGACCACAGGCACATCCTTCTCCTCTTGGAGTTTGATCTCCCCTTTTGTACAAGGAAGGGATTGGAAAGGAAATTTTCAATCAGCCAGTAAACTCTAAAGGAGGCATTTATGGTTTGTGACTCTATCCTGCCCTAACCCTAAACATTCCCCTTTCTTCTAGTAAACGCCCTGGTTTTCTCTTCTTCCAGTCCAGGAGGGATGGGTTGGAGCAGTGGACCCAAGCCAGTCTGACTTAGGCATTCCCTGGACACAGTGATTGGTTATAGCATGCGGGCATGTAACCTGTGTACATGTGGGCATGTGACCTGAGAGTCAACTAGAGTGTATCCCCAAAACTGCTGCTGGGATTGCTACTGTCACTTCTTCGTGCAGCTCTAGAATCCAAAAGCTGGAGCTACCTAGGTTGCTGGAGAATGGGATTCACACAGATGGATCAAGAGAGAGGCAAGATTCTGGCGACATTGTTTGAACCCTGTATCCAGCCTCTTCTGGATGATTTGATTCTCTCTTCCTGGCCTTTTCCTCCTTTTTCTCCTCCCTTTTTATTTCTCTGCACCCTGTCTCTCTTCCTCCACCTCCCCAGCTCCTGAGCACCTTGCTCCCGCTGCGGCCTCACCCACCACATATGCGGATATTTGTGTTTCAGGCTCAGGTCTGTCCCAGGTTGTGCTCTGGCCCAGCCGTAGCCTTGACCCCAGCAGGAGTGGGAACTGGGTCCTCAGAGGGGCTGTGAGGAACAGGCTGCAGAGGGCACATGGAAGGAGCAGAGACTGGGCAAGAGGCAGTGTTCCTAGAACCCTCCACAGGGAGTTTCTTTGTTCTGGGCTCAAGGCTTAAGGCTCAGCCTTGTTAGCAGCTTAGGAGCTTTGCCCCTTGCTGGCTCTGCGTACTCTTCACAGCACTAGGGGAGGGAGAAGGCTTCCTCCTTATCTGTCCCATTTGCTCATTCTAGAGACAGTTCACGGTCAGCACCAGACTGTACAGGGAGAATTAGAAGAAATGGTCTCCATTATGGCAGTAAAATCATTCTTGTGATGTTGATTGGTAAGAAGAACAAAAGGCATCTATGTCATCACCTGGGTCCATACATCTCTTTGCCCAAGCCTGGGCTCATTGTCTCTTCCTGGGATCATCGTCCCTCGATGCTTGTAGTGCCAGCAGCATCTGATACGGCCTCCAAATCACCAACAGTGTGCTTTGTCAGAAATGTGAGGTATTCAGGTCACTCCACAAATTCAGGGACTGGGTTAGTTATATAATGCTACATAACAAATCACAAAACAAAGTGGCTTAAAGTAGAGATTTGCAAACTGGTCCCCAGGCCAAATCTGGCCCACCACTTGTTGTCAGTAAATAAAGTTTTATTGGTACACAGCCATACCCATTCATTTATGTATGATCTATGGCTACTTTGATTTCAGAGTTGAATACTTTTAACATAGACTATATGGTCCACACAGACTGAAATATTCACTACCGGGCCCTTTATAGAAAAAGTTTGTCACCCTTGGATTGACACAACAGTAATCGTCTATTATCCCTCATAGTTTCTATGGGGCAGGAATTTGGGAGCAGTTCAGCCAGGCAGTTCTGGCTTAGGGTCTTTCATGAGGTTCCAGTTAGGTATTGGCAGGGACTGCACTTACCTGAAGGCTTGACTGGGGCTGAAGGATTCTTATCCAAGAAGATTTACTCACATGGCTGTTCAGTTGATGGAGGCCTCAGTTCCTCTTCACATGGGTCTCAACACAGGATGGCTTGACTGTCCTCATGGCATGGCTGCTGTCCCCAGAGTGAGTGATTCAAGAGAACAAGGTAGAATCTCAATGCCTTTGTGAGCTAGAGTCAGAAGCCACGCACTGTCACTTCTGCCATATTCTGTTGATCACACAGGCTGGCCCTGACTCAGTGTAGGAAAGGATGCCACAAGAGAATAAATACCAGGAGGTGGAATCATTGGGGCCATCTTAGAGGCTATCTATCATATGGAAGATGCAAACTCACGCTCCCATGAGTATTTTGATCTATAGATGTATTTTCTTAGACTTTCACCATGCTTTAAGTCATTATTTTTAAATTTGGAGATTTCACAAAATATCTAAAGTATCTAAAAATGTCCCACATTTCCACATGTAACAATAGGGTGGCAGTGACCAACAGCTGCCCTTTTTGCATGGGACATGATTCTTTCTAGTTTGCCACATTTGCCGCCGTTCTTTATTGATCCCTGACAGGGAAACTGAATTTTAGTGATCATTAATAATTACTCTTGGGCTGTGTCCTTACTTGAAAGAAATACTTCTCTTCGACCTCATCTGTGTTAAAAGATGGTAAAGGAAAGATGCATAAAGAAGGCCTCCCAGTTTAAGAAGAATTAGAGGGACCACATTTCTTTTAGGAGAGGAGAATATCCCTGTATGTGTAATATGCACATAAAGTATATGTATTTTAAACAACTACAACCACTACAGCTTGTAAATGTTACTGCCTGGCCTGTGGAGGCCAATATCCTTAGTTTGGCAGTGAGGATCTTTTGTAATCTGGCCCTTCCCTATCTTAAAGACAATGTGGCATAGAGATTTAGAGATCAGACATTGGGATCAGACCACATGGGTTCATATATCAGCCCCACCCCTCATCAGGTGTGCCCTCAATTTTCTCATCTCAAAAATGGAGATAATAATGGTACCCATCATATAGGGTTTTGTGACTACATTTCCAGCTCTATTTCCTGTCCTACCAGCACTCTAACTACCTGAACGTTCCAGACTGTTTTAGGCCTCCATGCCTTTGCACATTCTTCTCCCTCTGTCTGCAATTTACATGTCCTGCTTCTCTGTTGCAAGGCTCATTTCACAGTCACCCGCTAAGGTTGTCCTTAACGCTGTTCACCAAACACATCTTGTTCTCCTGGGCGTGTTGTGGGGTAGTACTTCTTGGTCCCCTCGTGGTTGGGTTGGGACCTTGTGACAAGATCTGGCCAATGAGTTGTGGTTACAAATAACACGTATCTCTTCCAGGCTGGAGCACTGAAGAGCAGGTTCAAGCCTCTCTAGAATTCTCTCTTCCTTCTGCCAGAGCAACTGGGTCCTGGACTGAGGATGATGGTGTGAGCAGGGCCACAGCCATGCCACGCTAGATGTGTTGAGCAAAAAACCCACCTTTGTGGTTTAAGATTCCAGGGTTTTTTACAACAGCATTACCTAGCCTGTGTTGACTCCTTTTCTAAGAAAGCATCCTTAAGCTTTCCTCAAACAGAGCTGATCATGACCCACGGGTTTCCATGGCAACCAGTACAACCCTCTGTCAATCCCTTATCCTCTACAGCCCTGTATTAAATAACTGGCTTATATATATCATGGTGCCTCCTGGTGCCTCCTGGTACCGTTCTCTCCTCAGAGTGGCCTTCCCTAACTCCCCGTTGTAAAGACTCTCCTTCATTCTTTGCTGAAGGAACATTATTTAGTTCTTGGTACTTTATTCTCAAAGCAATTATTTTTATTTATTTACCTGTTTATTGTGTGCCTGCTCCACTAAACAACAAGCTTAGGGCTGTGGGGCCTAGCTTGGTGTCTGACACAGAGATATTAAAAATGAATGAGTGATCAATGAAAACTGCACATCAACGAAAACTGCTTAGCATGGTGCCTGGCACAGAGCATGAGCCTGAATGAATAAACAGCTCCTCAACAACTCATCCACCCTTGACCACGTTCGCAAGCGTCCTCTCTCAGGCCACAGCGCAACTTGACAGGCAGCAGAAGGCCCAGTGGAAGCAGCTCTTGCTGCTGCCTTTCTGTTTTCCCCCTTGCTGCAAAATCTCCTGTGACCATTTAAAGACAGGAAGCAAAATCAAGGGGCCCTGGATTCAAAGGACACTAATTACCTTTCAAAGAGTTCCCGTTGGCTTTAGCCACACGATTCCTGTCAGAGGCCGTAGGAGTTCATGGTTCCTGTGCTGGGCTTTGAAACTTGGAGGGATTAATGGGGCTTGATTAAACCACAAATGGCAGGAAATGCGGAGGGTAGCTCAGAATGCCGGCCACCTCCGTCC